GGTATGTTGTATGGTACGCCTAATCAATTGAAATAGAATGGTATGTTGTATGGTACGCCTAATCAATTGAAATAGAATGGTATGTTGTATGGTACGCCTAATCAATTGAAATAGAATGGTATGTTGTATGGTACGCCTAATCAATTGAAATAGAATGGTATGTTGTATGGTACGCCTAATCTTTTGAAGTAGAATGGTATGTTGTATGGTACGCCTAATCAATTGAAATAGAATGGTATGTTGTATGGTACGTCTAATCAATTGAAATAGAATGGTATGTTGTATGGTACGCCTAATCAATTGAAATAGAATGGTATGTTGTATGGTACGCCTAATCTATTGAAATAGAATGGTATGTTGTATGGAACGCCTAATCTATTGAAATAGAATGGTATGTTGTATGGTACGCCTAATCTTTTGAAATAGAATGGTATGTTGTATGGTACGCCTAATCTTTTGAAATAGAATGGTATGATGTATGGTACGCCTAATCTTTTGAAATAGAATGGTATGTTGTATGGTACGCCTAATCTTTTGAAATAGAATGGTATGTTGTATGGTACGCCTAATCTATTGAAATAGAATGGTATGTTGTATGGTACGCCTAATCTATTGAAATAGAATGGTATGTTGTATGGTACGCGTAATCTATTGAAATAGAATGGTATGATGTATGGTCAGACGGCTTCGTTGAGAGACACTGGTCTCTGGTGTGGTAAAGCCAGTCTGTAGAGAGATTCTGGTCTCTTCAAAGATAAAGCTGATCTTTTTTTAGTAAGTCAGGTTGGAATGTATTCGTGACCACTGAAATGACATTATGTTGTTTGCAACCCAGCTTGTTATTGCAAGTTAAGTTTAACAACTTTAAAAAGTTGTAAATAATCACAACAATTTAAAATTAAATGATAAAATAATTTCATGTTTGATGTGAATTCCAAACACGTAAACCTAATGCTAATCACTGTAGCATCCTAATTACCCAGCTAATGTTTTAAATGTAATAGCTATAGAAGCAGGCACGCATGTCAAAACTGTTTAAGAATAAAAATGAACACATTCATTGGACATCAGATCTAGCCCCATACGTTGGTGTTAGCAGTCGTTATCAACAGAAAAGTCACTAGTAGTAATATATCAGTAAATTCAGCCATAATAATTTATAATTAAGGGAGACAACCATTATAAAAATAGTTAAAATGAAATGTATTGCCATATATATAAACTAATGAAGCTTATTGATTTGTCTGTTAAATAACTCTGTATTTTAAAATTACATATACAAAAATATGTTAAAATTTTGTGATCTATATATATATATATATATTGATTAAAGTGCGACGCAAGTTAAATATACAACACGGCATTATAATTAAATACTCTATTTCAAAAGGTGTGAATAAGTCAGCATTAATAAAGTATGCCTTCTTGTTTATAATTTCCCTAAATCAGGGGTCGGCAACCTGCGGCTCGCGAGCATGTATCAATGTGCAGTAACTACATAAGATCAAGTTATTTTAAATAAAGTATTGTGATGATGTTAACGAAGAACAGCCATCTTTATATATAATTCTCTTGGGAGATGCTAGAAAACAAGCTGTAAGCGCGATCCCTGCCAACCCCACCCCTACATGGTCTGGTGAGCTGTGGTTCACGCTAATGTTTACATTCGTAGAGCCGGGTTTAGTGACGGCTCTTAGGAGCAGATAATTTAGTTTGAAACGATTTTAAACTTAGGGGAGGTAAACTAAGAGGAGGCTGCTTTCACGGGGGGGGGGGGGGGGGGTGTAGGGTAGTGGTTGGGGGAAAGTAGGGTGAGGGTAGTATCATTCTTAACGACCAACTGATAGTGTTGTAAAGCAAATATTTTCAGTGCCAGCATTGGTACTGTCGAATTCACAAATTATGAATTACTGAAAAGTAGAAAATAAAACAACTAAATAGCGGCGTATGATATGCCGCGGGTCGGCTCGTATTTATAATATAGGCCTAGTTATTATTTTCGACGTCTTCATTTTGTTCCACTGGAAAACAATTAACTTATGAAATAAGTATTGGTATTTTATGTTTTGACTATCGATACATCAGTTTTGTTTTCCATTTTGTACAAATATTGTAATGTTTTCTGAGCCATTGGGTGTTACTATTAGTCTGCACCCTTTATATATCAGAGTGATTAAAATTAATCTATGCATCTAATATACACAAAAGATAAGTTCTTTAATAGATACTATTTCAAAGCTTAGCTAACAACTTAGTGTAAACAGGTATACATTTTTATTACCAATTTAGAATATTATAATAATTTTAAATAAAAGAAATTATATGTCAGACAGAAGTATTATTATTGCAAATGGGTATTAGTCATCACGAGCCGATGAAGGATAGTGTAATACTAAAACGAACAAACTGAGGCTGTAAATTACAGGTCTGAAGCGACAAACAGGTCCCCATTATCTGCATTCGATAGAATGATCCCACCTATTCTCCTATGCCTATATAAAATAAAACATAATCTTTTCAATACTCAGACATGTGTGGGAAGTATGTGACTGTTTGATGACATGATCACACCTTATTCTCTAACGCCTGCGGATTTTGTTTAAGGTTCTGTTCAGTTCCATACAATTTGACATCGCTGTTGATGTAGTCAGTCTAGAGACCAAGACAATATTTATCAAGATACATTCAATAGACATAGCTTATCGGGAAGACAAAAAGCCACGAAGCACGTTTTTATTCGGTTAGATTTGAGTGTTTGATGCAATCTCTTGTTTATTTACTTATATATGTGAATGCATGTTGTTTGGTAAGTATTGGATATATTAAGCGACACAATCAATGTATTTCAACAAGGCAGTAAAAAACTACCATAGTAATTTTTTTAGCGCAATTTCCATTCTGGAGAATTGCGTTTATTAACCCGTCATTTCTGGATGGATGGATGAATGGATGAATGTGTGTCCGCAGCTTTAAGTCGTATCTCCTCCTCAACGAAGCAATATCGATGACTAGTTCCAAAGCAATTATGTTAAGCAAGTTACGAGGATGAACATAGGCCATAAAAATTCCGGGTTTCTTTCATAGATTTCCCGGAAAAGCCAAAAAACCTAGAAAAAATGCAGTTTTTGGCCCATATCTCGGCAACCAGACCACTTAGCGACTTGAAACATGTACCAATCGATTCCTGCCATACTTTAGAACAATATTGCCGAAGAAAGTTTTCAAAAATATCCTTTCGTTCGGTCACAAAATTTTTTTTTAATAAATTAAAATTTGGACCGAATTAGTAGGCATTTTATGCAACCACACCACACGCGTCATCACGTTCAATAGCTGCGCCATCACGTTCAATGGCTGCGACATCACGTTCGGTAGCTGGGCGCGAAATGGTTTTTCGTCATGTTACTCTATTCTAAATAAAACATGTAAAATACTGAAAAAAAAATTAATAAAAAACGTTTTAATAACTAACCAATAGTTTTACTAACCCTGCTCTTGATTTACGCTACGACAGAGCTATTTTTAGATAACATAAGGAAATTGCGCTAAAATTGTCACTAGACTTTTTTTAATTACTTGTTTCTTCTAATAACATAATAGTAATTCACAAAGTCATTTCGTATTGCCTCACTGTTAGCTTTAGTATGTCAGGGTTTATCGTTGGCTTGTGAGCTCGGATAGAGATTCACAAGAGTAAAACTTATTTCTGATGTTTAATTGGACGTGTTAGTAGGTAACCAACTTGTCGCTTTCATACTTGCCAGATAAAGTTTTTGTATTACACCGATTGAGAATATTAAAAACATCATAAAATTCAAACTAAAAATTACTAGAAAAATAGAGAAGCAAGGAAAATGTAAAAAAAATAAATAAAAAAAATGGTGTAAGGTCTTTAGAAGAAGGAAGAAACTTAATTATAGGAAACAACTATGGTGTCCTGCTTTATATAAGATTTACTCGCTTATTTCCCTTTGAATTAAACATTCAACACGTGTGAATACAGAAAGCCATTCAATAATTTAAACAAAACACACTCAGCAGAGTCGATTGGCTGTTATCTGTGAATTGTTTAATTGACTCTCTCTATTCCAATTACTGAATTGGAATAATTAGCTGGTAATAAAAAAACATGTCAATGCATGCAAAACAGAAGTTATTCTCTGACTTTTTTTTAAATTTTTAGTAATACTGTGTATTTGATTTAAAGTAAAATATGAAGCACAATGAAAAATATAAAAAAAAACCCAATTAAAATAGCGATTTATTATCATTGATAGTATAATCATGTCATTGCAGTTTCTAATAAAGCAGTGCAGTCAACAAACTGATTAGTATAATGTTTTCTGAGATAGCAATATAAAGCACTGGATGAGCAATTGACTTGCAACCTATTAGTACATTCGAACAAGCAGTAGTAAAAACTGAAGATAAAAAGTACATAATAGACAAAAATGTAATGCTTTGCTTATGACTAATGAAAATACAATTAATGACTTAAAAAATAATACCTATAAAATTGTGGTGCATTTAATTAACAAAGAAACTTTCATAAAATTGTATTTAGCATTTAGACATAAAGTAATGAGAGATACACTTGTCCTCTATTATTTCAAATGTAGGGAACCATACCATGTAAAAATATGTTTTTTTTGCAGACTAATGTAAAACGCTTAAACAAAAAGTTATATAATTAAAGGTATTAAAAGTTAAGTGTTTCTTTATTTGCTAGAGAAGCTGTATTTAAACATTAATCAAAGCTATGACGTAGCAACATATTCAAAATAGTTTCAATGATGGTCAGTACTTTAACCATTTGTCTTCTGTTTATAGTTTAACTATTAATACATTCTTGTTTTTCTCAAAATTGTCAAAATCTTAGATCTAGCCCATCCTAAAAATGTCTATGCATGTTTGGAAAAATGTGTGATTATTCTATAGCGTCATAACATGTCGCACACAATAAGTTTACTCTTTGGTCTTTTTAACCTCTTTGCTAAGACATGTCAATGTATGTGTTCTCTTTCCTAAAATATAAGGTATTAGATAAGTATAGATGTCAGTATAAATAGTCATACTTATTTAAAATAATGTTTTCAAAATTATGAGATATATGTATAAAACATAGTTTTAAAAAGAAACCTTAAAATACAATGTTCAAATATAATTGTATATTGTCTTTAGTATAAGTATATTGCAATAATAAGACTTGAATTTGAACTAAAACAGAATCCAAAATCTCTTCAATCCCATACACTAACAACCGTTAATTCTCCAAGACACAAAAGTCAACATTTTAATCGCATTACCGGCCAGACAACAAGCCTGTCAAACATACGTGTCAAACAAACGCTGGACAAACCATTGTCAGACAGCAAACAACATCACAGGCAACAAACCAAGAATCAACGCAACAAGAAATATCCAACAATATCACAGGCAACAAACCAAGAGTCACAGCAACAAGAAGACCCAACAACATCACAGGCAACAAACCAAGAGTCACAGCAACAAGTAGACCCAATAACATCACAGGCAACAAACCAAGAATCAACGCAACAAGAAATATCCAACAATATCACAGGCAACAAACCAAGAGTCACCGCAACAAGCAGACCCAACAATATCACAGGCAACAAACCAATAGTCACAGCAACAAGCAGACCCAACAACATCACAGACAACAAACCAAGAGTCACCGCAACAAGAAGACCCAACAACATCACAGCTAACAAACCAAAAGTCATCGCAACAAGAAGACCCAACAATAACACAGGCAACAAACCAAGAGTCACCGCAACAAGCAGACCCAACAACATCACAGGCAACAAACCAAGAGTCACCGCAACAAGAAGACCCAACAACATCACAGCTAACAAACCAAAAGTCATCGCAACAAGAAGACCCAACAACAACACAGGCAACAAACCAAGAGTCACCGCAACAAGCAGACCCAACAATATCACAGGCAACAAACCAATAGTCACAGCAACAAGCAGACCCAACAACATCACAGGCAACAAACCAAGAGTCACCGCAACAAGCAGACCCAACAAAATCACAGGCAACAAACCAAGAGTCACCGCAACAAGAAGACCCAACAACATCACAGGCAACAAACCAAGAGTCACCGCAACAAGAAGACCCAACAAAATCACAGGCAACAAACCAAGAGTCACCGCAACAAGAAGACCCAACAAAATCACAGGCAACAAACCAAGAGTCACCGCAACAAGCAGACCCAACAAAATCACAGGCAACAAACCAAGAGTCACCGCAACAAGAAGACCCAACAACATCACAGGCAACAAACCAAGAGTCACCGCAACAAGAAGACCCAACAATATCACAGGCAACAAACCAAGAGTCACCGCAACAAGCAGACCCAACAACATCACAGGCAACAAACCAAGAGTCACCGCAACAAGCAGACCCAACAACATCACAGACAACAAACCAAGAGTCACAACAACACGCAGACCCAACAACATCACAGGCAACAAACCAAGAGTCACCGCAACAAGCTGACCCAACAACAACATAGGCAACAAACCAAGAGTGACCGCAACAAGCTGACCCAACAACAACATAGGCAACAAACCAAGAGTCAACGAAACAAGCAGACCCAACAACATCACAGGCAACAAACGAAGAGTTACTGCAACAAGCAGACCCAACAACAACACAGGCAACAAACCAAGAGTCACCGCAACAAGAAGACCCAACAACATCACAGGCAACAAACCAAGAGTCACCGCAACAAGAAGACCCAACAAAATCACAGGCAACAAACCAAGAGTCACCGCAACAAGAAGACCCAACAACATCACAGGCAACAAACCAAGAGTCACCGCAACAAGCTGACCCAACAACAACATAGGCAACAAACCAAGAGTGACCGCAACAAGCTGACCCAACAACAACATAGGCAACAAACCAAGAGTCAACGAAACAAGCAGACCCAACAACATCACAGGCAACAAACGAAGAGTTACTGCAACAAGCAGACCCAACAACAACACAGGCAACAAACCAAGAGTCACCGCAACAAGAAGACCCAACAACATCACAGGCAACAAACCAAGAGTCACCGCAACAAGAAGACCCAACAACATCACAGGCAATAAACCAAGAGTCACAACAACAAGAAGCCCCAACAACACCACAGGCAACAAACCAAGAGTCGCCGCAACAAGCAGACACAACATTACCACAGGCAACAAACCAAGAGTCACCGCAACAAGCATACACAACAACATCACAGGCAACAAACCAAGAGTCACCACAACAAGCAGACCCAACAACATCACAGGCAACATAGATTGTAACACCTAAGTCACCAACAATGACGCCAAAGCCTACATACACACCACATAAGGATTTACCGACAACACCAACACTCGAAGCTACGGTACCCTCAACAACAAGTTACAGCACCAGTTCACCAGAAAGCCACACCAGCAAAATGATCGTCAACTCAGAAATGACAAGTAACAGACCCATAAAAAAGGAGCATACAGCAATTAGAAAACGCCAGCAACAACCAGCAATATGTCACAATCAAGAGTCAACTCCCAACTCTTTAGAAACTAAAAAACCCAAGTCAAAAAAATAAATAAAATAAAACACAGGCAAACAAGGGGGCAGATATAACACCAGTTAAAAGGCAACAAGACTTCAACCCAAATGTAACAAAAGACAAGAAAACAAAAACTGCAAAAATGCATTGACATTAAAGGAGGGTATTATGATGATACTGCCGAATCGTACTCTCTACAACAACGGAGAAAGAAGAAAACACACAAAATCAGAACACGGAACAGAAGCCACGCCACATTGTGAAAACCAAGTTGTAAGGCAGCCAACAAATCAGACATCATGCAAAACTACAAACATAATTTGTAATCTACGAGTACGGGTACTGTGAAGATTGTGGTTAAAATTATAAGAAGTTTAAAGAAAGAGCAGAAGCACGATATTGTCTAATTTGAACTAATAGCTAGTGTTTGTAAACGTATATATTAAATGAATTAGTTTAATGCGTATGCTAGAGGCTAAGAATAATATTATTCACTCGGTCTTATAAATAGTGCACACTGTAATACAGAGTAACTTAGATAACAAAGTACACAATAAAATAATCAATTTTGTTTATAACTATTTAATCTTTAAAATTCGATAAATTTAAAATATTTTGAAAATAAAATAGGAGTTATTTCAATCAACTTTATTGTAATATATTTATATATATATATATATATATATATATATATATATATATATATATATATATATATATGGGACGTAACTTAGACACTATGGGCATTCTTCTTTACGTAATACATTATTCCCAAAAAATTCTTTTAAAAATGACATCTTGAGTTATTCATTTGTTATGCTTTTGTATGTATTTAATGTTTTCATCGTAATTAATTTGTAATCTGTCTTAATTTTTTTCATATGTGTGTTGTTAGACCCCGCCGGCCCTAACTCATGTGTCTACTTGGTCAGTACAATAATTAAACTTTCTTTCCTGATACGGTTAGGCTTGGCAGGACATTCGATGAAGTTTGTTCACAATTTTTATAGAACTGTGTATAGAATGCTGTATTTAACGAAACGAATTAGTTGAATTGTATAAGGTGTGATCTTTGAGATTGGAAACTTTCTACTAGGAATTCAGTCTAAGGAGTTTGATGTAATTAATGATTCAATGATGTACACACGCTTGTATCTATAAAAAAATGTTGCAACCATAAATAATCATTAGCTATGGGGTAGTTTATTTTTAGTCGCTAAAATCTTAGTTAAACACCAAACATATTATTTAATAGAGAAACACTGTTAGAGAAATGGCATGATAACAGGGGCGTAGCGAGAGGGGGGTGGGGGGTGCGGACCGCAACGGGTGACACCATTTAGGGGGGGTGACACCAAGGCAAAAAATAGCAAAATATATAAAGAAAAAGTTTGAGGTGGGGGGTGCAAATCGAAAACTTGAGGGGGGATGCAAATCGAAAATTTGAAAATTTGTCCCCGGGAAGGGTCGCTGCGCCTCTGGGGGGGGGGGGGGTGACACCATTAAGTGCCGCACCGGGTGACACCCGACCTCGCTACGCCACTGCATGATAATATTTATAACGATGTGTACTGCTAATACCAACATGCTCAGTTCTAAATGAATGAGAACTGGTCGAGTTCTTGACGGCCGGCAAAGCTACTCAGTTGATCGTTGTATAATTGTATAGTGTTGCTCAAAACACTCTATGTAGTATTTCATCTAGACTGTTAAGAACTACCGTAGTAAAAAAAATATTTCTTTGGTCCAGACATGTAATTTACAGAGTTAGTTTGTTTTGCTGAATGCTGTTGTTGTCACAATTCAGTATGTACAATTTTTTAAGTAATTAAAAAATTAGTATATTCAAGCAGCCAAAAGCCACAACCAAATCATACCACTATTCTTCTTCTTCTTCTTCTTCTTCTTCTTCTTCTTCTACTTCGTTCTTGATTGTGAATATGGTGGAGAATTCAGACAACAAGTCCAACTTCGTGGACAAACCGGACTGTGGTCTCCAGTTTGGCAGATGCCCCATATAATTTTTCCCTGAGTGGTGTGGGCAGGGGCCAGTGTCTGACTCGTGCCTGGCTATACAAAGTACATTCCTTGAGTACGTGCTCCGTATTTTCCGGGACCTTGCCACAAGGGCACATTTCGCCACACCCAACCTTCAGTTTTATGTGCATGTGTTGATTTAGTCTGTTGTGGCCTGTTCTAAGTCGAAAGATTATGTAGTGTTGTTTTCGTCGTCAAATTATAATAGCCGTCGTCTTTATTGTAGTGAGGGTGTGTGACAGACCACATTTGCGTTTGTTTGTTTTTATTATTCTTTTTATTTCTTTTGGGTGTAGCGAAATTTCCGGTTGTGGTTTCTTTCCCCCAATTTTTGCCAGCTAGTCTGCGATCTCGTTACCCTGGATCTGGCAGTGGCCCGGGATCCACTGCAGCATAATCTTGCTGCAGGTATTTTTTAGCCTCTCTAGTGCTGTCATAAGTGTTTGAATATAGGACTCTGGATTTTTTAGGGATTGCAGGACTGATTTGGCATCTGTAAGAAATACAATCTGACTATTCGGTGATTCAGGGTGTTCTGACAGGAGGTTTGCCGCATGCTCTATAGCTTCAATCGAAGTGTTCAAGTGTCTTGTAATATATCATTTAATTACGATTTCAGTTTTCTCAGTAAAGTTGTTACACTTGTTAAATCTAATCTCCATAAAACATATACTTTTGACAGACTTTCACATATGTTATTTAAAATTAACACTTACTTACATATTAAACATTAAATGTATTTTTCAATTATATGATAAAACATTTCTACATAATATTAAATCAAAATTTTAGGTTATTTCCCTTATGTATGTTGAAAATATTAATGGGAAATAAATAAAACTAAAACGAAGTAAAATAAATGTATGTTTATGTTTACATATTAAAATCATGGTAATTCTAGATAAGATTTACGGGAATTTAGATGCATACGGGGCTTGCGCTACCTATAAAGCGAACTAGGCAGTCGCCTGGGGCGTTATCCAAGGGGGGGGGGGGCGCAAAAATGTGTAGTCGTCATTATTTAAAAACGCCTATGGCGGCCGCCCCACCCGCCTACCTCTAGCTACGTATGTGGTAATATAATAAGACAGGTATTGCTTATTACCCACTGAGGTGTTGTGCTTAGAAGGGCTGATCCTAAGATATAGCACACAATGAAACGAGGCTGTTGTCAACTGCTTGATTTATTGACTTTAACATCAAGCCATAAACGGCGATTAAGGACAGTAGAAAATAGTAGTAAACAGAATGTAGAACACATAAACTGTAGCCCTTCATGAGGTCTACATTATCTACCAATTGGCAACGTCACACTCCGTGTCCACAGCAGCCTTGGGTCTGACTGACACGGCCACAGGCACGCACTACCCATAATCACATGTCACGTGACATGGGAAACAGGTAAAATCGCTCACCGAAGAGAGTGACAAAAACGACATCAACAGTTGCTGTCCCACAGGGGCCGCAACCTTATAAATTACAACATATTTTTTATCCCCCCCTCCCTTGGATGAAAACAATTATATGTGTTACAATTGTATTTAATGTAAATCCTTTAATTTTAAAAAATTCAGATGGCTGTCTAATTTTTATATTAATTTACTGATCGCTGCATCGTATGAACCGGCGATCTAAGGACAGGTGTAATTCTGATGATAAATATATTAATGTTGATGATCTTTACAATGAGCTTCAAGTAGTAGCTTCTTAAGCACACAAAACAGATGTGCTCGTCTATTGAACAATAAAAACTGGAATATTGTGTACAGAATGTTTTTTTTTTTTAGTTTACTATTAACACTTCCAATGTCTGTTGGCTTCTGAAGAGCGTAGTTTTTCAAAATTGTAAATAATTGCAGGGAGGAGCTACTATACCTCCAGACCCCCCCCCCTCCCGCAAAAAAAAACAAAAACTAACCCTAACGGTGTGAGCTGTAGTGTTACTGTTTTCATCATCTGCTTGTGGCGACAGATACAGTTTTGCAAAAGGAAAAATAATTTTTAGACACGTGTAATCGTTCATTCACATTGCTATATTCATATTGCTATATTCGTTCAAAATGACAAAAAAGGCGATATCCCAATATTCAAAACGTAACAAACTATTACTTAAATTGATTACCTGTGTAAAGAACTGAGGGCATCGAATATAATATATCCAACAATATTATAAGCGCCTTTGCTTGTTTTAAGAAAAGAGAATATTTTCGGCAGGAAAGCAATACTATTATTTTGTATTGTTATTTTTATAATATAAATATTATTTAACTTAAAGATAAGTATTAAAGGTAAGTTTTTTTTACAATCCCCCATTTTGGCGCCCCCTACGGTCGGCGCCCGGGGATTCATGTACCTCCCCCCCCCTCGCTACGCCTCTAGTAGAAACGTAAATGTTGTAAACTTACAGGTTCGAGAACAAAACTGTTTCTTTATTTGTCAGCGTCACCACGTTGTTACGCTTGCTATTTATTTAAAAATTTTAAAATTTAAAACGCTTTTTCCTGTAGTACAACTAATATAAATTGTGACATAGGCCTAGATGTCAAAATGAGAACGTGTAGGCACGGAGAGAGTGTGTGTGTGAGTGGCCTCCCCTTGAAAGTGGTGTGCTAGCGTGAAAACAAGTGTGTGAACGAAACAGTGTGTGAAGCAATGTGGTGTGGCGTCAACAGTGTATCTACTCTTTCGTTTTCTTATTGCCATGTTTCTTGTTGTTGGT